GGCAAAGATCTCGGACTTTCAACAGCAAAAACTTCCAACAGTTGCATTTTCTTTTTTGTTTTTAAGCATACAAACTCAAAGAGTTTTATTTTACCTTGGCCTATCATCACAACTCACTCAGCACAAAGTTTCTTCTATCTCTTAGGCCAGGCACATCCCTGGTTTCCATATACTTTCTTATTCCTTCCAGAAGTCCATTTCCTATCACATCCTTCCCATCTTTATGTAGGTGATAGATTGTGATTCTGAGCAGGAAAGATGGTCTGACATGACCTCATACAACTACAACTCTGAAAATTCTTCACTACTGCAGGTGAACCAGTTGAAAATTTTGAAATGGCCCAACAGAATAAATGGGCATCTTTGGTCACACTCACAGCAGTAACACTTCCACAGTGATGAGACCACTGAATGCTGTTTTTCTAGTATGGTGAATTGGGGGCATGGACCTATAATCAGTGAACCCAATGCCATGAAAAACCTTTGAATTCAGTATAAAGTAATTTAAATGGAATTCCCTGTGAAAGAACAGAGCTTGCAACTTTTAATCTGAAATCTCAGAGCATCCACTCACCTGGTGAGCCAGTAATCCTCAAGAAATGCCCTTTTGCTGTGACCACTATTTCTTAGTTAATGTACAGTGAAAAGTATATAATTGGTTTAATCTTTGAGAGAGGGGTAAGCTTTCTTCAAGCACTACACAGAGTAACCAGCTCTCTGCATAGAACATCCAGTTAAAGGCACGTGCTATTCAAACTGAAGTACAAGCTTCAGCTCAGTCCACAGCAGAAAATGGAGTTTGAGATTTCCAATTTTCTTTTGTTTCTGTAGGAAAACACAAGTATTCTGAACAAGAGAAAAATCCATTTTCTTTTAAAACTGTTTTTGAAGGAAATGGTTCAACAAGTTCTAGTAAGATTCCCCACAGAGTAAATGTTCTCAGGATTGTGTGTTGTTAATTTCTTCCATTTTTCAATAATCTGACAGTCTCTTGATCAGGGTCAGAAAAAAAGATCTCCCCGCTTGAGCAAGTATCTTCAATAATCTACTCTACAATAACTGTTCTCTATTCCAATTACTCTCATAGCGAGGATTTGAGAATGTGACTCCCACATCTGAATCATGGATCAACCATAGATTTGTACAAATCTGTACATGTGCCAGAAGTACCAATGTGATCCAAGTCAGAAGGGAGCAGACAAGTTTATTTCTCCTGAACCTGCCTTGTGCTTATCTTTACGCTGCCTTCATCCTTGCACTGTGACCCTTTGCAGGCTGCAAGACAAGAGCCAGTCTCAGTCAGCATAAAACTGTTGTTGAAGACAACCCATCAACATTTTTGGAGCTAGTGCAAATCCAGTGTCAGCACTTGGAGTACAAATCCAGACGAGCTGTGTGTGATCACACAGGAGGAGCACCAGAACCGGACTTGCTGTATCATTGAACCACAGCCACAGAAGTGTATCCTAAATGCAAGGAGATTGCCTTATGAGGCCATTTTGCCTCAATCTCTCCTTTTGGATCTGTTCCACTTTGCTTGCAATGTTAATATTCACTGAGTCAGAGAGCATGAGAATAACTCTTTAGTGAAGGACTTAGGGCATTTGCTGGAGAGGGGAAACACATGGGTGCCAGCATGGACGGAAGCATTTCAGCAAAGCAGAACCGTGCCAATAGGAGAGACAAGCAGCCACCAGCCCTGTACTACCTGTTTGCCTGTTGAGATACATTCACAACCTCACCAGAGGAGGACAGACGTGTAATTTAGAGCAGTCACTACCACCATCCCCTCCCTCTAGCTGTGACTACTGCCCATGAGGAGACTGGTACAGTCTCACCACGTCTTTGCTTACTCAGGCTCTGTGTGCATCCAGCTTGGACACCCTCCTGCCTGCAGTGACCCCCTGCATTAGATCAGACTACATCGGCTGCCTATTGCCAGCAGCTATAGTCAGGCACAGCCTCGGAAGTAAAATATTAACACACTCCCGTGGGAAAGGAAAATTCTGATTTAATGATAGCATTTTGCACTTTCTGGTTCTTTTCCTTAGCTGCTCCTGGCTAAAATGTTTCCTTGGAAAGTCACTGCAAAATTTTTTTCTAGTCCCATATGCCCAAAATCAAGTGCTGTTTTTAAAAATTGCAATCAGCTGCTTGTGATCTGCTTCATTGTCTACATCCTTCTGAAGTTCATTAGCAAAAGTCCTAGAAACCCCAGCCCTATGGTGTATATTTTCTCTCCCTTTTCCGAACAGTTCAATTATGCCATTTTTTTAAGGTTTTAATATTTTGTTCCTAATCCTGATTTAGAAGCATTGCTAATAAATTGACAGGTTGTGACATGTAATTGTAATTTAGAGCTTTTTCACCTTAGATTCAGAGTGATGCTTTTATGATTTCAGCAGGCTTTTTATTCACAGCTCCATAAAGCTCCCATCTTGAGTAGCTCTTTGAATGGGGTTGTCAAGACAGCTATGTTTGGTGCACATTTTTTCCTGGAACTGAATTCAATTTTGCCTATAAAGTTACAATTTCTCTGTCTGCAGCTTGTTTTGTTCTGCAGTGGCTTAACTTTTCATTTAAATCATCTCTTCTCTTGCTAGCACAGGATATATTCAAAATACTTACATAAGGAGCTTATTTTTATTGGTTGCACTTGAAATTCATCCCCTTCGGTGTCCTTCCCTCTTTCATTACATACCTAACAAATCTCAGCTCATCATTTGCTTTGTGTTGTGATGTACTGTTGTATTGTGCCCAGCATGTTCACTGGAACAGAAGGTTTGAATATCTGCATCTAGCAAATAGGAAGCCGACTGTAGTTAGAGCCTTATGATTACTGTTTAGCATTTGCATTGTGGTGTTACTTGGAGACCCTAGTGACTGAAGCTCTGTTTAGTTTGGATCTGTGCATATCTATTCTGAAAAGACAGTATGTACACTAAATAATTCATGGAAGAAGAAATAATTCTGTGCTGAATGCAGCTTGCCAGTAATGTAGTTTTGCTTGACCTAAGATGGGAACTCCTGAGCATCCTCTGTCTCCAGTAAAATCTCATTATGGAGAGGTGGTATTTTTTACCTTTATTTTGCAGATTTCTGCTTTACAGCTTATTTCTAAAGGAGATCTGTGGAAGGTAACCATGATGAATAAGTTCATTGTTACTTAGTGGGTGCAATCTGGCCACACAAGAATTAGCATTTGCTTTAGAAAATGTTTAATTTTTTTTTATTATTTTTCTAAAAAAGATGTAAAATCACCACTTTAAAGACCAGACACATCAACTCTCTAGAAAATTTTAAACATTAAAATGTTTTTTTTTATTTTCAGTGTGAAATTACCAAAGTGACTGAGAGAAGGTAACAGCAGTAGTCCAGAGCTTAGAGAGATTTGAAGACAGTTTCCATCATGCTGTGGTCTTACAAGTCAAACACAAACTGTGGGCACAGGTAGGATTTGATTTTTGGTTTTGAAAAGCTGGACATACAGGAATGGTAGTCCACTGATTCTTTCCTAGGGCTCAATGAGGCTTGGCTGATGCCTAGGAAAAGATGAAAATCTGTGCCAGGCACATACTTTTTCCTCGTCCTTCTTCCACAGACAAACCTGCAAACTGCAGTGGAAGCCTCTCTGCTGGGCCAACCAGGCCATCTCTCACGGTCTGCAAACAAATAACCAGAGACAGCAGCCTTTCAACCACACTTCTGCTGGGGCTGCTTGAGGAGGCAGCCTGGAAAATTTGGAAAGCCATTGATTCGTTTTAGAATACACACACAGACAGAAGCAGTGGGACTGTATTTTATCAAAAAATTCCGGTGATAAATTTCTGGGGGGAAAAAAATAAGTTTTCCATAAAACTTCCTATGCTTAAGCTATTTCTAAATGCAACTATTAGACACTTAAAAAAAATATGAATGCTATTTTAAAGGCTAATTTAAACATTACTGTAATGGCTAAGGTTTGGAGAAACCTTTTTACACGATGTCTGTGTGTGTTCATAGCTATAGGACATGCGTATGCATTATTACTATCTATGTGGTAATGTGACAGTTGTAAAATGGTTTAATTTTACTGTCATATCACTAAAGACTCTTGCTATCTAGTAGCAAAATAACTGTAATACTCATGTCTCCTATTTACGTTGTAATGAAATAATATTGACAGTTTGAGCATTACAACATAAATGGAAGACACTCTGAACTAGAAGACAGTTATCCTAAGTGGATATTATTATCTTTATCTGTCACTACTAGTAATCCCTAAATAGAAATTAGCCTCAATATTTTTTAAAAGAACACTGGAATTCAAAAAAACCCCTTTTCATCTCTGAGTCATACATTCAGTTTTTAAAATTTTCTTTCTTTTTCAGAAAATTTCAAAAATGCTTTTTCCTTATATTTAACTACTTCCAGTGAAACATAAATTCTGAACTTTTTCCAGCTATAAAGGTAACAAAGACTTGAAATCAGCATGGTCAGCATGTTGCTGATCTAGCATGACCCACAATATTTTTTAGTGGGGTTTTTTTGTGTTGTTTTTTAAATTTTTGGTGCTACCTAGAATAATACCTTATATGCTTTACATTTTCTGTTGCAATAACATATCAGGTCAAATAATGTGTTTAATATCTGTTATTCATTGATGTCACAAAAAGTTGGGACACGGTCTCCTAACACTGTTTCATCTTGCATAGCCTTTTAGCCTTTCTCATGAGTTACATTAAAAGAATCCCCTGAAAAGAACTCTTCTCAAGGGTAGATAATGGCAGTACAAGGGGAAATGGTTTTAAGTTGAAGGAGGGAAGATTTAGGTTGGGTGTCACGGGGAAGTTCTTTACTATGAGAGTGGTGAGGTGGTGGAACAGGCTGCCCAAAGAGGCTGTGGATGCCCCATCTCTGGAGGTGTTCAAGGCCAGGTTGGATGGGGCCCTGGGCAGCCTGGTCTAGTATTAAATGTGGAGGTTGGCAGCCCTGCCTGTGGAACACGGATTGGAGCTACATGATCCTTGAGGTCCCTTCCAACCTGGGCCATTCTGTGAAAAACCACACGGTATGTTTTTCACTCTTTCTCAAACTAACACTACTGGACAAATACCTCAGCAATAGATATGTGGCACAATTTTGTGATGAACCTCTAGCAAGCACCTTTCCAATCCACCTGGATGGATCAGTTCTGTCTCACTCTATGCCAGAGAAGGCAAACATTATAAAAGAAGCCTAGAAGTTTCTTGTTTTGGTTTCTATTGCGCTATTACATGGTGTATACTTTTTTTTTTTAATGCTATTCCTTCCGACACTTTATTAAATTGTTGTACTTTCATGTCTTTTCTACCCTTAAGTTCTGCAGAGGATTGTTTGACCTTGTATGATACTCTCCACTCGAGCAGCATGTAAGATGGGACAGCTATATCGTATTCTGTGTACAAACAGGGGGTTCTCAAACTCTGACAAGGGCAGGCCCACCCAGTTAACCTTCTTCAAAGTTATGCCAAACTGGCTGCAAAAGCCTCATTTGAAGCACTTGTCTTCAGCCTCCCAAATGACAAATACATGCGAATGTATTTCCCTGGGTATTTTGCTAAGCAAACACGGTGTCAGAAAAGCAGTTTGACATTCCAGGGTGTGTGTGGGTAAACAACATAAAAAGGAGTAAGCAAAGATCACATACTGTACTATAACTTCAAGTTCACAGGCCAGTAGCCATTAGGAAGAGTGCAAGAGGGAATAAGGTGCTTTACCCTTCCTCTTGTTTACTGAGGAGCGAGGGCAGCTGGGCAGTTATCCAGTGCTGACAGTTGCTGTAGGTTGCTGTAGAAGTCTTCCCACAATAAAAGAGGTACACTCACCATGCAGGAGGATACACCAAAGTTCATGTTCCTTCTCCCTAACCCAAATGAAATAGTTCTCAGATATTTTTGCAAAGCTCTGTTTTTCAAATATTTTGTTAACTGTGTAGCAAAGTAGGAAGCAGAAACGTTAAAGACAGAGACTGGAGATTAGCATCAGTCAGATCCGTTGCTTGAAATTTTACCTAATGATAAATGCCTTTCGTGGTAACTTCTTATAACCCTCACACCAGTCTATTCAGGCACAAGATAACTGTGCACCTTGATGTTCTGCACACCTTTTCTACCAGTAGTCCCTCTTTCTCACCAATAACAACTATTTTCCCAACGCCAACACATTTTCAGTGAGATCTGTGGTTGACAGATGAAGAAAAATACACCCTCCAATTGCTATTTATGATATGATTACACAGGTCAAGTTTAATTTCAGCATTGTGGATGAATATGTTACCCAATCATTGTAACGATGCACTCTCAAAACAGCAGTGGGGCTGAGGATGGAAAGAAAACCTTGTTTATAACTTCTCTGCTGATGATTGGAGTTTGTAATGAAAGCATTCTGACGCAATCATCTGTGACACAAAGGTAGGGAATTTTCGTACCCTTCTATAGTCACCATAGGGGTAGCTGCGTGACAGGTGAGTAAGAGAGGCATGGCAGAGAGAGTGCAATATTGCAGGAGGGATCACTTTTCCTCAGGGCTAAAGCAAGAGTATACTTAATCAAATTAGCACTTCTCAGGTAAAATACAATGCTGAATATTGCTCTCTAAACTGCAGGATCAAGAAACCACCAGTGCTGGCCTAATCCAGCTCGTGTTATGTTGGTGTTTCATCAGTAGTCACACGTACTTCACAAGCTTTGCGTTCAGTGGAAAGGAGCTTTCTCAAGACCGTCTGAGCACTTCCCTGCAGCAGCCTTCAGACCAGCAAAAGGAGGCAGCACTGCTGGATCAAGGCTGCTGAGGTGAGATGCAGGAATGGACTGAACCAGGGCAGCCAAATCAAAACACCCGCAGAAACACTACATGAATTTGTTATATCCACACACTGAAGATTCTTGCTGTAAAGTTCAATAGCTGCAGAAGGGATTTCTTTGCCTCTTTTTGCCAGTGACAGCTGTGTTTTCATAATGCCAGACCAGAGCTGCTCTATATATGTGCTTTGCCCCTCCGAGGCTTTTTGGGATGCTTGTTTATCAGCCATGGGAAAACTCCCTTTCCCGCAGCCCGCCCTCCTCAGCGTCCCGCCTGTGAAACCCTGCCGCCCCCCCGCCCGCCCTCATGGCGCCCGCCCTCATGGCGCCCGCCGTCCCCGCTCTCCCGCTGGCGGCGGCCGCACGGCCAACGGCCGCCGGGCTCCCCCTAGGGGCGGCGGTGAGCGGGCAGTGACGTTGCCGGGAGACCGGCGGGAGCGGCGGGGTGGGCGGCGCCCGGGGGTCGCCTCAGCGCTCGCCACCTCTCCGCGAGCCCTTCTGTGGGGCGGCTCGGTGGCCGTGTCCGTTAATAAATAAGTAAATGAATAAAAGTAACTGCAGGTGTCAGTCCTCGAGGGGGGCTCCGTCCCTCCCGGGGGGGGCTTAGAGCCCAGCTGAGACCCAGTGGCAAAGCCCTTATGGGTGCGTGATCCTCACAGGCGCTCCTGCAAACCAGGGTGGACAGTCGCAGACAATGATAATGACATTCAACAGCAGTCCTGGCATGAATATCACTCTTTAAAAGGCAGAAGACGCTGGAGTTAACCTTAGCTGCCACATACTATAGCTAGCAACACCTGAGACCCATTAGTTCATACATAATTTCCCCTGGAACGCTGATTAATGTGGCTGTCCCGAACGCAGTTCAGTGTTCTGTGAGATGCAGTACCAGGGCTCTGTGGCTGTGCTGCTATTAAAGTGTGAAAAAATGCTATCCTGTGCTCAAGTTGGACCTCGTAGTGCAAAGGGGACACGTGGCTTGATTGGGAAGGACGTCTGAGACTGGTTTTGTGTTGGTTTTAGAGCCTCAGAAAGCTGCTGAGCACAAGAAGCGGTCAGTTAGACCCAGGCATGCTGATCTTAGCCTATATCTGTTGGTAGAGCAGGCATACAGCCCCCTTACATTTAGAAAACTGCTTCCTTGCTCACTGGCGATTTTGCTTAGGCTCTCACAAACCTCAGCTGTCAGTTGTGGTCCCACAAAAGTGGGATGTCAGAGTGTATCTCTGAGCTTTCTGAGAGCTGGATTTCTGGTATGTGGTGAACTCTGGTCTGCTTAGGCGTTGAAGACTGAGGTGTGTGGAAGGGGCGGCTAGGAGCCACTGAAACACGCATCTGCTGTCTTTCCTCATGCCTTGCAGATGCATGAACACATTCTGCACAGGGCACCGTCTGCATTGCCTCAGACTTCAAATCCCATTACAGGTGATTACAATAATCGAGAGAACAAATTCACAAATCATCTTACCCAAGTCCTTGTATGAAAGAAAGGGCATCATTTCCGACAGGCTGGATGTAGAAAGATTGATTTCCTGGCATCCAAACGTAAGAACAGCCATACTGGTTGAGACAAGTCCATCCAGCCCAACAGCCTGTCTCTTGCATAAAAACCAGCTGATGCTTAGGGAACGGCAGAAGAGAAGGCTGAGCGCACAGTGATGGCTCCCTGGCACACTGTCCCAAGCTCCAGCAAGCTGTGGCTCCCCAAGCCAGATGTGGTATCTTTAATAGCCCTTGGTAGATTTTTGTTTCCATGAATTTGTGTAATCGCTTTTTGAACCTGTATCAGTTCTTGACATTGCAGCGTCCTGTGACAATTAGTGGCAGGCTCCAGCAAAGCAGGGTGTAAAGAAGAGCCCTTGTTTTGTTTGTTTTGAACAGATCACCTAGTAATTTCATCCAGTGCTCCTACTTCTTATGTTCTGAGAGTCAATTACAATCATTCCCCATTTGCCTTCTCTGAGCCATTCATGATTTTACAGGCTTCTCCCATATCCCTCTCACTTTTCCATACTGCAGGCAGATACTATAGAATTTAGAATTCTTAGATTTTAGAACCTGTCTCTAGTTCTCATATGCTGTGTTGAGGGCATCAGATTTGAACAACATGGAATGCAGGCATATCAGAGAGATTTATACTAGTGCACAGCAGTGCTTTTGATTTTTCTCCTTCCATACTAATTGATAAAATTTGATTTGCTTTTTTGAACACCTCTGAGACATTTTCGTAAATATATTTAGATTTCATAGAGCTTCCATGATATCCTTTTGGTACAGTAACAGTCTGTCCAGCACCTCCAGTTGTGAATGCAACGTTGCCTGCTTTGTCTGTTGGCACTGCAAGTATCTACTCTGCATTTCCTCCTTCATTTTGTCACCCAATTACTCAGTATCATGAGACCTTGTTTTTGTCATGTGTCATGTTTTTACTACCATAAATAACGTAGCATCACTCACAAAGTTTGCCACCTTGCTGGTCATCCCCTTTCCTAGTGTATGAGTTCAGCAGATGGATTTGGTAGATCTTGGCAATACTGGAGGGACACAGTGGGAAGGAAAAAATGAGGACCTCAACTACTTCTCTTTTCCTCAGCACAGCTTATATCTCACTTAGATTTGGATTGAGCCGGCTGCTCCTCACATGGTGCAGGCAGACCCACCTTGATTTTGCCACAGATTTGGAGGGATGCTGATGAAGGCTGGCCAGTGTGTGTAAGGCCAGGTGTTTGGCTAATATAACTGATTCACACCGAGTCAGGATATGGACTCAGATGGGACCCACGAGTGTGTTCAGCCCCTCACATCATGGGGATGGGGATGCCCACAGTGGAGGCAGGCGGGTGGCCTAAGTGGAGTCCGTAGGGCAGAGTGGGGGTGAACTCATCGAGGCAGCATCCATCCTTCACTCACCTGAAGGTGATACCACCATACCTCCCCACATGCAATTCCTGACAGGTATGCTCATTATTAATAACAAGCTTTCTGAGGCGGACCCCAGGCTTTCTCACCACTTGCCTCTGCCGAGCGAGGCAGAGCAGAGAGCGCTGTAAGCAGTGCTTGCACAGCCGGAGCTGTCCCCGGTGTGTCCCCATTCCAGCGCGCCAGCCAAGCGTTTAAGACACCTGCTTCTTTTTGCTCCTGTGCTGGCCATAGACTAATAGGGACAAACAGGAAGAGGACTTAACAGAACGCAGCAAATAATTGTTCTATGCCAAAAGGGAATGTATGATCAAAACTACAATGGGCAGGCAAGCAGCGAGGCAGTGACCCGAGGCAGCGCAATGTGTCAGGAAGAGAGAGCAGCAGCCCAGGGACAGCAACAGCCCAGAGCCTCAATTTGTAATGACTGTGTGGACCACATGCCAAAAAGTCTCTCCCCACCTCCTTGCTCCAGAGAGCTCTCCTAATGTTCTTAGCTGCTTGGACATCAGGACAAAAAGAGCCTGCACGCATCCAATATGTGACCCAAGGCATCTGCTTCAGCAGAGCAGCACTGCAGAACCTGCCTCTAACGCAGAGCGCTCCAAACACCTGTGAGTCAGATGATGGCAAATTCTCCCTGTCTTCACAAGCACAGATGAGTTTGAACCTTCTGGGCATTTTAGCAGTTTACCATCTGCACATATAACCTTTTTTTTTTTTTTTTCTGAGCACATGGAAGTCTTGTAGGAGGATGTTAAAACCAGGAAACAAAATAAGGAAACATGTTTACACCTGCTACATCTGTTCAAGAATTTTCAGCTTCCATTTCACTATTGACTTTCACATTCCCTCTCCTCCTCCCTCCTGTTTGGTCAAATGCCACCATTATAAACAATTCTTATTTTTTTCACCCAAATCTCTCAGACTTTCTATTGAATAGATATCTTAAAGCAAATGAAGTAAGCTGTGAAATGGTCTAGCAAGCGACAGAAGCAAGTGCTGGCTGCTGTATCTCATGCTTATCCAGAATTGTCTGGATATTTGGATTCATTGTGGAAAAAAAAGCCTACATAAAATATGATGATTTTAGTTTTTTAAACTAGAACAAAAAAGTGAACGATAAACCATTCCAGACACAGATGAATTCTTTGTGTAAGCCAAGTGCAATAAAACAATTTCATGAAAAGTAGATTATGAGAAGGATTATAGACACACACACAAAAAAAAATATCAGCACAAAGAGGAATGTCTCTGTTAGCAGATGCCCCAATCAATTATAACTGGTTTATTATGAAAGAGAAAAAACATCAGTATCTGCTGTCACGGGGGATCTGTTTAGTTGAAAGAATTACCTGTACAGTTATATCTACCATAAAGTCAGACCTGCAGATCTGAAACAGTTACGGATGGGAAGAAAAGATCTTCAAATGTTGGGGGGTGGGGAGGAGTAGCAAAATAATTCCTCCTGAACTGAATTCAAAGGAGATTTATTTTCATATTTTTTTCCCAAATTTTATGTTATGATTGTTGCAGCAAACATTATATACAATATTTTTCAATTAAGCAAATGCTCTCATTAAAATGATTTCAAGAGTGATTGCAGTGGCATTTTTACAACCCCAAAAAATTAATATGTTGATACAGATGTTGAAAACCTAGCAAAAAAGATTGGATAAATTTGGACTTCTTCACTGAAAAAAATCTACTTCTGCTGATGCGTTTCTTTCTTGGAAGATTTACACTGGCTTTGTGAATACATGAACTGGATTATTAGTAACACAGGCAAGGTAGCAGCACTTGGAAGAATCGCCTGCTCCCCATCGTTTCCTAATAAAGCCCAGTTAATGGAAGCAAAATGCCTTCATGGGTCAACAATTAACTTTGAAATATGCTATTTAGTGATTGTGGCATTTAGTATTATGATAGTACCTCTGTTTCTTTGAATTACTGTGTGATGCTTGTGTGAAGCATGCAGTCTGAAATGGCAAGAGAAGTTAACAATATTAAAGTCAATATAGTACATGCTTGCAAAGGGTTGAGGCAAGTCCTGTGGTCCTAATACAGGCAAATTCTCACTGACAAGTCTTGGCCAATACAATCTGCAGGTGTCCACTTTCTTTCAGGATTTAGTCCAGTATTCAACCAGAAGAAAACAGTTCAGTAATTCATTAGGATATGATCATGCCGGG